CCCCCAGCCAGGGTCAACCCACCACAGGTGTGTACATAATTATATGCATATATTCAAGCCTTTCTAGTAATGGGTGCATGTTGGCTTAGTAATAGTTCCATCAAACAAATCCTAAGGGACTGCAACTGGCCTGTACGCTGTAGACTAGAAGAGTTAGAAATCCTAAGGTGTCATTTCTGAGCTCATTTCTGAAAACTTGTCTTTTGTCCTGTTATTTTTTCCTGCAGCTGTACATCTCAAGTATATGTTGCAAAAAGGCAAGTCCATGAGGATTTGGGGAAAGAACAAGAACTTGCTTTTTTTCCATTTTTTAAAATTTATTTTTTGGAACAGTAGACTGCTGGCATTAGCATGTAGGGGCTCTGGCTAAATGTATGCTTTATAAAATGACTTCATATGGGGGGAAAATAGGCAGGAAGGAAAATTTTGTGCATCCTCTGTATTCTCTACAAATATCAGCTGAAAAAATCATGGTGTGTGAATAGCAGCAATCAGCAGAGCACACTTAAAGTATGTGTGGAATTGCTAATCAGCTGAGGCTCAGCCCATGTCTTCACAAATAATCTCGCCACAGTAAGAGTGCAGCATCGCTATCTTGTGTGATACCCTGCGATGATGGCTGCTTGCTGCGGGTAGCAAATGTCATAGGTTCTCCAGGTGGTAAGTGTAAAAGGTACTGAAGTCCAAAGGCTTGAGTATGTGTTAAAGCCATCAGGAGTCTCTGAGGAGTTTGGGCTACTCATAAAAGGATGTTATTTTTTTTTGCTTGGGGGTGTTGGGGTTTTTTTTGCTGCTGAGTTAAATACATAAGCAGAATGAGATCCATAAGACTGTCAGGTCAAGTGATGAGCTTGGCTCTCCATAGCATAAGACAATAAAAATGCCATCATGACTTAATTATAAAAATTTATTGGTTAAATACATTCTTAATTTACAGAGGTACCATAACAAACTTACTGGACTTAACAAAGATTTATTTAGGATGCTGTTAATTGTACACAGAACAAAGACGTCTTCCTGAAGATATTTCCAGAGGGTGGGTCAAACAGAAAATGTTTTGATAAATGAGACTTCTATTATGCTAACATGGGGCTATAGCTGAATTTCAAGGTTACAGTTGAAATTTGCTACTGTATTGCAGTTCGGATTTGTGCTCCACCTCATTCTCTTTTTTTTTTGTACACCTTAGGAACTTTAGGTTATGATTTCTATGCAGTTTCATGGTGATACTAGGCATCAGGTCTTAAGAAAATCCCTTCCTGTAAAAGCCAAGCATCTAACTTTCAGTTTTAAGTTTTAGCTGCCTGCAGTAACGCAAGCAGCCTTTCGATGGCACTCCTTGCTCTGAATATAAGGCTTTGCTGCTCTGCCTGCCCTGCACAATAGGGAGGAGATGATTAAAGTAAAGCAGAGCGGTCTTACCTACTGACAGGCACTGACTTGAAACATTCAGTGGAAGTTACAAAAACAACCAGTCAATACACAATTATAAAAATGGGGAAGAGGAAATTGAAAAAAAAAATATAAAAATTCAGTTCTGCTTTGAGACTTGTATCAAAATCTTAGAAAACTGCCAGACAAACTGTAAGTAAACAACATACACTTAAGCCTCATCCACCACCACCAGGATGCAGTATGTCTTCATATGTTCTGTTGGTCGGTGTGGGCTTTGCTTAGTTCTGCTGTTTTCTTCCTGCTCTGCTCACTGGAGGTTCAGGAATTGTGTTGGCATAGGTCATGGTGGAAGAAACCTGTTTTAATGGGGCGATCCACTCAAAATTTATGGTTGGAAAGTCTTGAGTGGGCTTGCAGAAGTCAGGAAAGCTAGCTATAGATTTGTTTCCTTGGATTTCTCTAGAAGGAGATGGCTGCTTTATTGGAATAAACAACAAGAACCTCTGGCACCTCCTGGCAGGAAAGCTTGGAGAATGGGATGGGTTGCCCTTTGGAGTGGACTTACACTAAAAGCTTGATTCCCCAGGAGTTCCAGATAGGCTTGTTGGGGATGGTAAAACGGAATAATAGCTGTATAAATTGTCATGTTTCCATCTTTCTAGAATAGCACATGATTTGTAGTTGTTTTTATAATGTTAATCCCCTTAATGAAAGTAGAAATCCAGTTCGCAGCTCATTAAAATTGTGGTTTTCATCCCTCAGTTTTGTGAATAGTATTGGTGCAGTTACAATGTACAGCACTGTGTTCACGAAGCTTCTAGAGAAAAAAATAAGGGCTAATGCCTGTGTCTATATTTGAAAGTACTGCGGCATAACAGTGACTGCAGAGCGAAACAGTGCTGAGAACCTCATGTCTGCACTGCATGTTCCTCAGGCTTGCTTCAGGCGAGCTCCAGTCTGCTACTGAGACTGGATGCCCCTTCCCTGCTGGGGGTGGGGGGGGAAGGGGGGAGTCCTTCAGCTTGGTTTTGGCTGTAAGCTTGTTTCTGCCTGCTGTGGGGGTAACCAAAATGCAGTGGCTGGGGAGGGGAGGGCCACCCTCACCAGCTTGCTTACACACCAATTTAGATGCACCCTGATCTTTTGTAGCAGTAGGTGTTTGTTGCCATAACACTTGGACCCCGTATTGATGAAGTTGTAAGCAGACATGTGACTGAGTCAAGACTATCTCAAGGTCCATTGTGTGATTCTAGTCTCCCATCTGCCACTCAACTGTTGGCCCTTTTGCAGCCTGAACTTCCAGACCCACAAAAATCTGGTAAGGGTATGTTGATAGCTAGTGACCTGCATCTCTGAAGTAACAACTCATGTAACAGCTTACTGGTTCCTTTTTCTTATGTAGTACAAAAGTGAGGCCAAATACTGTCAGCACTGAAAGAGTGAACTGCAGCATAATTGTTTCTATTCCAATCTGATGAAGTTAACCAGTAATCAAGATGCATTTCACTATTTTGTCAGGAGCCAAGCGTTGCAAAAGGAACTTACTATCAGAAGTTCCTATAATGTGAAGGTACCTCAATCAATCTGGCTTATTTTGTTGTTCAAGTCACCCTGCTGCTCTTTACTAAATGCTTTTGTTAGAGCTTCTTGAAGTAACCTCTTGCCAGGCATGTTTCCTTAAGGCCTTGATAGACCATTTATAATGATGCTCAGTATAGCTGGTATGTGGTAACAAACTGAAAATTAATCCCATGTCTGCTGAAAGCTAAAACCAAGGCAGTATAATATCCTTCAAGTTAAGGATAGGAATAGTGTTACTGAAGTATGTTCCAGCGCTTGGGTGACAAATGAAATGCAGACAGAGTGAGGGCTGGCTTTCCACTTACATGAAGGGGGTGGGGGGGCAAATAGCTGGAATCGTGCAGTAGCTGCACGAAGGGTGTCTGAGAAAGCTCAGTAAATGCTGTCACAACTAACTTCAGTTGGGAAAGAAGGGTACAGCTGTGCTCAAAGCGGGGTGTAGAAAAATGTGAACCTGTACCTGGAAAGGATTTTGGGGGAAGGGATCAAGGTCTAAGATGATTCATAGCAATGTGAACATTATTAAGAGGCAAAATACTTAAATTTTACTTTTGTGATCTCCTGTATGAGCAGCTTGGTCTAAGAATAGAAGAATATTACACAAGGATTTGCTTCTGAATTTATCCTCTTGCCAGTATTACATTTGATATTTTTCTACTGTGAAATACCAGTTATCTTCCTTATCCTCTAAGTCATAAAACAAGTGGATTCTCCTGCTAATGTAGAAGTCAAGCAGTAATGAAACCTGAATATCAAACTTGATCTACATACTGAGTGCTGTAATTACATCTTAATTTTTTTTTAAATTTGGATTTAAAATTTTTAAAGAAACCCAAAGAAGCTTACCTTATGCAGACTTTGTGCATGATAAATGTAATACCAGATAGTAAACATAGTAGAATGCTATTTAAGTTAAAATGGTGTTGCACCACAGTATTTCCCTAGTTGGAAACTGCTAAAAATCCTGCTTGTATTTGCTCTCAGAGCATTCATGAAGCATGACTACATACACTGTCACAAAAGACTAAAATTTTCTTATTTGACTTCAAGATACTAGTATGACTGTCTAGAAAAAGTAGTGCAAAACATTGATCGTCAAAACACGTTGATGTCTTTGCTGTGCCTTTTGGACAGAAAACATTCTCTCCCACACACAGGGAGTACAAGGAGAGGCAACACTTCACGGTGTTTTTAAAATCTGAACAAAGTTCTTGGGAAATATCCCAGACTTTCCTTGTATCTCTCCACTCATCCAGTCCTCGTCTACAGATTCCAGCTCTGTTATTGTATCACCTGCCTGTAAGAGAAGGAGTAACGTGAGCCAGTACAGCTTACTGTGCAATGTTAATGCATGCATAGCTGATGTTACTCAGAAGCAAATACCTATCAAATAGAAGTAGGACATGGCCAGCCTCCTCTGGTGGTTACATCTCTTTTGAGATTGCTTGCCAAAACCAGCTGAAGCCTCTCTTAGGGTAAGTACTTGTCTATGCTGAAAAATCACCTCCTTCCGGAAGGAAAAAGTAGCACTGCTGGATAGCTTTGTGTGTTGCTTAAGCTCTCCAGGTAGGCAGGTAGGTTAAGAGAGCTGGCTCACAGGCCCCCTGCCTTACTTGTCATTTGTGTGTGTTTCCCTGTGCACTGGCACTCTTACCGTCCTCCTCATTGCGGTCTCCCAAGTTAAGAGATGCTTGGACTGCACTGACTGATCAAGAACTTGGTTTCTTGTACTGCCTTCTTGGAAGGCAGAGGAATTCTGCAATTCCTGATCTCTTTTCAGTGTCCTCAGTGAAGACTTCACCAATATGAAACAAGTGGTAAGGGCAAAAATTTTTTAGAGAGACTATTTATCAAATGTGTTAATATCTACACCTATTCTGCGTGCTTCATTCTTTCTTGTTCCAAGCCTGTTTTCACAGTGGATAAATCCTTTTTTTAGCATTCTTTAGAAGCATAACACTTTTTAGAAAATTGGGTTAAGAGAGGTACTTACTTTGAAGGAAAGCTCATCTTCATTTTCTCCATGAAAATCATAAAGAGCTTTGGCTTTTCCTTTCTTCCCTCCTACAGCCTGTGACAGTTCTACCCTGGCTACAGAATGTGGACAAGACAAGTTACTTAGCTTCTAAAAGGACTAAATTTAAAGTTCATTTGCTTGAACTTTCCAATGGTGATCTCTAATAAAAGCTGTCTTTTCCTCTTTGTACTTGGAGATGAAGTGGTACTTGGTGTGTGCTATTTGCCAGTTAGGTGGAATTTATTTCCTGTCACCTTTCACTTGTGGCTTTACTTGCAAAAACTATGGGAAAAAATTGTGATTTTCTGTGTCCTCGGTGAAGGTTTTGACTGAATTGATTTGGGGACCAAACAGAATCTTGAGGAGAGCAAACAGTGTTCATTCAGTGCTTTCCCAAGGGAATTACAATAGTTCTGTGCCAAGATGCAGCAGTTGTAGTTATTTACAGCTGTACCAGCTCTTTAGCTGTGCTGCAGGGTTTCTGCAGAACCTGGTCCCCGCCCCCCCCATCTTTTGTACCCCTGAATTCCTACTAAAGGCAGCTCAATGATCCTGTTTTGCCTGTGCCCAAACCACACTTTAAAATGACCCAGAATCTGTATCACCTCCCAGATTACAGCATTACCTTGCCATTATTAGAGAGGGTAGCTTAGCTTTAGGGTATTAAGGACTGTGGTGGTGTGTGGGTTGTTAAAGCAATGGAATAATTGGGTTCTCCCAGAACTCTGTCATGACTGTCACAACCCAAGAAACAATGAATTGTTATCTAGCAGGAACACTGTACCTGAGCAGGTCTGAACAAAAACTGCTGGGAAAATCCCTTCCTTTTCATTCAGTCTTCCTCTATACCACTCTGAATCTACTTGTTCCAGTATTTGGATGTAGTCTCCCTTTTTAAAGGATAAATCATCTTTGGTTTCTGCTGTAAAATCATGAAGTGCTTCACACCACTCTACTGAGTGTCTGTTGTTCTATTCAAGTGAACAGAAGAAATGCATTAATTTCAGAAGTGTTACTGGACCCCCCCCAAAGCTGACTGATACTGGTGAAAGCAGCTGCACAGAACAGGGGTGTCCTGACTTTCTCCCGTACGATAGTGTCACTGCAGATGTAGGCTAGAATAGCATTTCAGCAATTACCACAGAATTTCATCAAGGCTGACGCATTCCTTTTTATCATTGGTGGCAGGGGACAGGCTTAATAAATTCAAAATTAGACCACTGCAGCAATACTTAAAATAGAGCTAACGAGAATTTGCTTAAGCAAAAGGATAAAAAAATTGCTTATGTTAATTTGCCAGAAGCTATGAATTCAATCAATTTAGGCCAACTGTCAGAATTCAAGATGTGACCATGCAGCATTGCGTGCTGTGGGAGTTGCATTACATTCAAGTTTAAAGTTGTGCAGCTAATCTGATGTTATAATAGAAAGTCTATATAAATCTATGAAACCACTATGTACATTCTGGCCCTCACCTATAAAATTTTATTACCTGAGGAAGAGAAGAAGAAACCTCCACCTTGTTCTTCAGTGCTTCTCCTGTACCTACACAGGTAAAAGATAATTTAGAATAGCAGCAATGACTATTCAAGATATTGCTAATGATACAGATTTTAGATATTCAAAGTGATTATTAAGAATAACTTAAGAAGTCCTACTATTTCTTTTGATTTTTCTTACCTGTCTTCTCGCCCTTCCTACCTCCTTCCTGCATTTGTTGTCCTTTTGGACTTTCCTCCTACATGTGTTCTGGAACATTTTTTGCAATCATATTCATACCTGTTCCAGGCAGATCTTCAATTACTTCCACAAAGTTCAAGGGGAAAATTCCAGATGTGCCTCTGAGCTCTCCTTTGGCCCACTCTTCATTTACATATTCTTTAAGGATAATGGTTTCACCTTCTGAAAAACTGAGCTCATCTTTCTGATCTCCAATGTATTCAAATCGTGCTATACATCTTGGCCCTCTGCACAAACCAAAACAGAAACTTACTTTGTTTATTATTATTGTCCACATAATAACAAAGGCAGCACTGTGCAAAATACGGATTGATATTTTTAAAACTATGAAAGAATGCACTGAAGATAGAACTGGTGGAAAATTGAGGTCTAGTCCTGATTCTCATCTCTGCTGTCTGAGGAGGATGAGTATGGCATCTGGAGGAGCTGGATACAACTTTTGCATCACAATTCCTGGTTGATACAGTGTTTTGCATAAGACCTTATTTTCTGCTCCAAACAACAACAAAAAAAATCACTTTGTTTCTGGGCTACCTGTCCCATTTTATATTTTTCCCTGTATTCAGGTAAGTAAGTGTCCTGATACACTTTTGTTAAGAGTTTTTGATCTTTTTTTGAGCTAACATCCAATTTAAATGCAATCAAACATGGGGGGGTGGGGGTGGGTGTTGTGTATTTGTCCCAAATCCATGGAGGTTTTATAAGGGGAAACTAGTTTTTATCTACTTTGACAAACTTTATTCTATAAAATCTATCCCAAGCATGGGAAAATAACTTACCTATTGAAGAAAGAAACATCAATACATCTGATAAATTTTATGTAATTTGGTATAATACTGAAAAATGAATTATTTTTTTCTCACTTAAATTATGTAATAATGTAATAAACTAACAAAATTTAAGCAATTACTTTAAGAACAGTTTTCATTTATCAGAAATACCATGCTGGCAAAAAGTGATAATAGGCTTTACTTTTTTCTGTATAGCATCATAGCATACAACCAATGCAAGAACCTTGATTCCCACCCATGCCCCCCACTCAGTCTTTGCAAAAGCTTCAGGACAAAGCTAGCACTTTCTGTTTCTTTCTTAGTTGCAGAAGCAGCTTTAAAACTAAAGTTTTTGTTAAGACAAGCCAAGGTCTATCTGAAGAACGAACTGAATGATCCCATTGATACTAGTAATTCCTACCTCTGCCTGAATTTGCTTTAATTGCTGCAATGAGTGACTACAAAATCCAGTAAATCATCGAGTAAAAATAGCATGAAAAGTTGTTCCTTGCCCACAAATCTTAGTTGTTTGCAAATCAGAAATGAAAGTGCTTGAAGTACATTTGATAATCTGATCTGGGGAACTTTAAATTCACCTGTATAGTTGTACACTTTAAGGCTAGATAGCTTTCTCAAAGTACAGCTATATTCAGTCCCATTTTATCTTGTTCTTTCAAATGAGGAAGAGTCCTACTGTGTTACATCTTATGAGGATACTGGAAGAAAGTAACAAGACCAGGAGCAAAGAATGGAAAGTGCAATGCTGCTGAAGTTAATCAGATTGGTTCACAGTTTCTATAACCAATTTTCATGAAAAATTATGGGAAATACTCTCCTAATACAGCTCTTAAGATGAGGGAAAGTGAGTGAAGGGGACTGCATCTATATAAACATTTATTATAAAATTGATCTACCAATTTTTTGAAGCCATGAAGTGGGTTTTTAGGCTTTTTTTTTTTTTACCTGAATATAAGTCTTATTAAAACATCATAAACTTTCAGTTTTGAGAGCTTAATTTTTACAATATATTTTGGTGAAGAAACTGTCAACCATGTTAACCTCAGTGCAGCTAACACCTGCTTCAAAGTTACCCTTCTTTTCACTTACTAGTAAATCAACATGAGAAAAGAAAATAAAATTTATATCTGACTCACTTAATACAGCGTGATGAACAGGGTATTTTTTTCCTGTTGCCTTCTTCTGGAACATCAATCTAATTGACAACAAAATAAGTAAAAGCTTCAATTTCAAGCTCATGGCAACATAATTACAATAAACATGGAACTGGTTAAAAGAATCTATTTTTCAGCTAAGCATCAGCTGTATTATGATCTCCATGTGATGCTCTATAGTCACCGGCATGCTATATGACTGTATTAATGTAGATTTTGTGTTTGTATGCCTGAATTCTCATTTTCCAATCTCATGCAAACAAGGAGCACTATTTAATGTTTTCTGTTATGTTTCTGTGGCATGATTGATTGATTGACAGAATATGGGACTGGATGCTACTACATGTTGTTGCATATAGCTCCCAACTTTCAATTGGTAATTGTTCTCTGTTATTTACTAGCACAATATATCACAATAGACAAAATTGATTGTTTACACTTATCCTTTCTGGGCTTTGGTAGTCAGCTGCCCTCCAAACAGAACCACATCTCACAAATCTCACTTAAATTGGAGAAATATAATTTGGAAAATCAACACACAGATATATCAAACAGACAGCATTCATGTCCTTTATCATAAGAGGACTTCAATTGTATTTTTGACGTGACATGAAGGATGATCTGTGAGATGCATAAGACCACAAGACTAGAGACCCTGGCGAGGAGCTTTGGGTTACAGCTCACTATTGCACGAGCCAGTTCCCATAAAAATCGACAAGAATGTTTCATTAGCTTATGTGAAGGACTGGAAGAAATTATGCTGCCTTTTAAGACAAATAAGCTGTGCAGTGCTCTTGCTAGAGGAGCTGGTATCTGTGGTGCTCTGAAGGTTCTATGCGAAGTAATAACCATGTATTATTGTTAGGTGTCCAGACCCAAGGTACTACCCAGTTCAATATTGTAAAACATGCTACAGTGTATTGTACAAAGACCTCGTATCAAGATCAAATCTGACATGAATGAACAGGAGAATTCACACAAATTAGCTTCATGTACTGCACTCTTTTTTTTCTTTTGGTTTTTTTTAAATTTTGCTGAAACAAAAGATTTTTGCACTCAAAGGGTAACCGCCTTTAACAACTAAAATAGACATTTGAAACACATCTTCCCTAGCTTTTATGAAGTTGTATCTGTCTGTATCAATGTTGAATTTGATCCCAAATACTCATTCTACTGCTTTAAGATAAAAATCTTTTCTATTAGCCATCAGTAGTAACAAGAGCTTTTAAATTAAATTGTTGGTCTGTGTGAAAGAAGCTAATCAATTTAGCTAACAAATCTTTCTTGTGAAAGTGAATAGAGCATGGTTCCATTATTACTAACCCCAAGTCTAGTTTTTATTCCTCAGTGCTTCTCAAATCTTAATTTTTTTTTTTCTCTGATAACACCATTACAAACTAAACAGACACCCTACACACTCTGATGGTTACCAAATACTTGGTATTGTCCATGTAGCACTGGCACTCATCTCTGCCAGCTGCCTCGGCTCAACACAGACTTTTACTGTCTTAAATGCCCACCCACACACCTTCACTGCATCCTGGTGTCAGGTTAGCATTCCCCCCCATGTCCATAGGGCTGGTGTGGATAGCCTAGCAGCCCTTTCTACTGCCACAAAATGAACTTCAATCTCAGACTTAGGCTTGCAATAGATTTGACCCAGCTTTTGATGCAGTGAACCATACTGTATCCTTTTAAAGATGAGGCACTCAAATAATTGCTGTTGGGCTCCAAAACAGCATCTGTGTCTTGCCTGCCGTTTACTATCAAGTGTCACATTCAGTAACAGGATTGCTTTAAGCTGCTCATTTGCAACAACGCAATCTCCTTGCAGTGTGCCAGCGCAACCCTTTCTGCAGCCACTTAATAAACCACTTAGGTGAATTGATCCAGCTGGGGAAAAATAATCTGGGAAGAAAAAAAGTCATGTTTTGTTTGGCCAAACTGCTGCTCTGACCTAGTTCACTACATGGCTATAAAAGTGGTGACTCCAGCACAGTTCTAGGGACAAGAATATGAGAGAAGCTGAGAGGTGGGAGGGAGCCACAAAAAGCAATCATCTCACTCAGTGTTGATTATTTTTCACAGCTGCGTGTAAGAATCTGCTCTGTAGACCCTGAGAACCTACCCAGGTTAACAAAGAGAATCTGGTAAGGATCATGATTTTCTCACTTGGCTTCAAATTAACATTAAAATAATCCCTGTAAGACAAATTGGTCCTACCAAATCATGCATCTTTCTAATACCATACAAACAAGTTGATATGTCTTCTGTGCTGCCAGAGGGAAAAGAGATTATCTAAATACAGAATGGAGATAAACACGCAGGAGCTATAGTAAAATAGAAGCAAAAAACCAATGCAATAGGATCTTATGTAGCAATGTATACAAAGCGTACGTACAATTACTTTAACAAAGCTGGCAGGAAATATCCCTGTGCGATTCCCACATTTTCCTCTGTACCACTCAGAATCAATTTTCTCCAAAAGACAAACAGTGTCTCCAGAATGAAGGTCCAAGTCATCAGCATGTTCTGTGTAAGACAGCATAAATTCAGTTAACAGTAGTTGTCACACTCGCTGATTTTTCTCCAAGTAAAACCTTAATATAAATACCACTGACAAAAAGCAGAATGAGTTTTCAAAAAGTTTTAATTATACTTGATAAAGCTAATTGGTTTAACTAAAAGATTGTCCCAACTATAGCTAAACCCATGGACTTAAACAACTCCTCTACAAGCAGATCTTGCATGCTGAGCTTCCTCATAATTTTCAAGCTCTAATTCCTAAGAAAATTCCCATTTGAAAGTCTTGGAGTAAAACGAGCTTCCAGAATATTGACATTTACTTACCTGCAGGAAAATCATGCAGGACTACAGCATGAGGTGCGCTTGTGTCAGAAACTTTTGGAGGGTGGTTTGAATCCTGACAACAACAAATAAATTCAAGTAGTTTATAAATCATGGAAGATACTAACAGAGATTCTCTATTATGTCCTCTGAAAGTAATTTTCTGACTTTGGACAAAACGTTGTTCTGGTATCAGAGAACCACCTTTGGAGGCAACGGTCAGTATTGATCTCACAGCTGTGGGTCTGAATTCTGTATGCCTTTTGCCAGTGTAAACCAGAATGCATTTCACCAAAATCTACTTTTGAGCCAGTAAAAGGAAGGGAAGGCATGTAACTTTTCCCAGTATAGACAAAGCCTCAGCTATCTCTGTGGGTCAGAAATCTGGAGTACTGATAGCAACTCTCATTGCAAAGGTTGTAGCCACATTTTGTGCTGCTGCTGGGTACTCTGCTCCCAGTTACTCTTCCTTGCTCGGAGAGAACGCCTCAGCCCAACTCTCCCCAGCGCACTCAGCAGGGGCAGCACATCTCTGCCTGCCAAGCATTTTAGAGGGGCGAACAAGCCACTAGGCCTTTGCTTACAGGAAGATCATGCTGAGGGGAAATGACAATTTTGTTGTGGGATCTTTATAAAGGGAAACTATATTCGAAATGCTAAGCCTTCTCTATCCCACCCACTAGGAATTTTTAGAATCTACTGATGACAATCGCTATGTGTGAATTACATTGAAAGTAATTCATTGCATACAAAGAAACAGCCAAAAAAACCCAACAAAGATAAAGCCAGAATAGTATGAATTACAACAGATAACAACAGATTGCATAGAAATCTATTTCAGCCATGTAGGTTTCTGATAATAATCAAAAAAGCTGCTCATAGGTATAATTTATACTAGCTATTTAATATTAATACAGTCATGCCCTAAAAACAGGTGAGGTTCTGTAGAAGCAGAGAGAGGAAAATACTTTGAAGTCCGCATGTCAAAACCAATTCACTGATATATCATGTACAGCACTTCATAAAACTACTCGCTTATCTTTTGCCCACTTTTCAGACACTCAGCCAAGGGAGTGATTATCTTCTGATGAGGCAGGGGAACTTTTCCAGTTTCCTCTCCCTTCTGGCACTCCAAGTAATTACTGTTGCTCTGCTCCATAAGCAGAATGTCCCTGTGCTATAAAGCAAATCATTGTTATAGGGTTTTGTTTTGGTGGTTGTTTTGTTTTTATCAAAGAAACAAGGATTTAATAAACCACTATTACATTTCTCAGTGTAACCTTTAAAGCCTAAAGCACTTGATACTTTAACGCAACAAGGAGTCTTGCTTATTAAATATTTATCAGCAGAAAAAAATGCCTTACCTTACAGGACAGTTCTCCAGGGTTCCTGGGAAGACAATTTTCCTTGGCAACTCCATGAGGCACAGGTAGCTTGAATAGAAATAGAAGAAAATGGAAGAGTTTGTTTCACTACTAAGCACCTGAAATTCCCACTGCAAGTGAAAATAGTCAGATGATGGAACTATTCAAACCACCTACTACAGGTAACTAATTGAGGAGTCCAGGGGAAGAGGACAAGCTCCTTTGGAAGGCATTCAGAACAGCATTGCTGGTGATATGCACTGCCACTTCGAGAAACCCAAGTGTTGTCATCCGCTTTAAAAGCGTCTTAGCCACCCAACTGGTATCATACCGCACAGTACATGATGTTCAGCAACACACTGACAGAGATATGTATTCATGTGTCATGGCACTGGAAAAACAACCTGGGAGGAAAACTTCATTGACAGTAACACTTGAGGGCAGAGACTTACTAGTGATCTGCTACTGAAAAAAATCTCATCTACAAAATACATCGTCATACGTTTCTTACGTAAACAGGTATGGCTATGCCAGAGAGGAAGCAACATGCTTCCCTTATCTCAAAGCTCTTCCTACTATCAACTTAGATACATCTTTCTTTTTTGCTCCTCTGCTCCACCAAGGATCTAAGTGCAATAGTGAAGATCAAAGAGAAGGCAACAGAAAGCTTCCACTTCATGCTGAATGTTGATGTTGTTCATGCTACGGTTGTGTGGGTGCTTTTTTTGACAACAGCACTGGTTCAAGCAGTCACCAGCTCTGATCACTGACTAGTTTCAAGTATCTGGAGAAAGACTCTCTCCTTTTTATCTGTAACGTTGATCCATTTATATTTAATATTCCCTAACAACACATGCAATACCAAAAAGAAACATTTTTATCACGAAAAGGGATGGCATCAATAGGATGAAAATGCAAGATAAGTGATGTTACATTCCTCATGCTTTGCAGGCTTGATTAAGCAAGGTAAACTACTGTTTAGGTTCTAATGCCCCCCAATTTTTACATATACAGGGGAAAACAATATACAAACACAATTATTTAGAATCATTTTACATGCTGTAATAGAATTCAGAACTGGTGACTGTAAAATGAACCCCCAAAACCCAAAAGCTATGTATTAAAGATATATATATATAAAATTATATATATACACAAAAATCCACACACAGAGATATCTATACTTTGCATATGTATGCTCCTTTCTCCAGTATTACGTTACAGTACTTATCACTATTTACCTATTAGTATTTTCTAAGGAAGATTATGCTGATAGATGCACTTTGAAAGCCACACCATAGTAACCTACCTTACTACTTTTTTCACTACTATATTAACCAGCACTGTTTTATAAACAACAGTCTCAAATATTCTATCTCAAGTCTCACCATGTATTTGTTGTAGAGAGGATGACCTGGTTTAGGTCTAGGAGGTAATGCTGGATCTGGATTTTTAAAGACTTGACTTTTTGCTCTCTTGGGTCCCAGTCTGAACTTGCTGGGTTTTTTATCAGGAGCAATGTTGGAAGTAGATCGCGAAAGAGCATCCTTCTGGGAGGAGGTCCTGGCTGCAGAGAGTTTTGGTGGAGGTGGCCTTCCAGGAACACTTCTAGGTGGGGGAGGTCGAGCAGGTATAATTCTTCCATCCACAGGCCTAAAAATTAGACAAACCATCAGAGAAATATGCATATTAATAAGTCAGCCACCTCATTCTCCACCACAGTCCTAGCTATAGAGTATGCAGTAAGAAAATGTGACTCATGATGACCTGGGCTATAGTACGTGTAGTACCTGAAGCTCTCCAGGAATACATGAACTCTTCAGATACTGAGACTGGATGATCAAGTCTCTAGATAGATCCTTTGACTACCTATTTCCAAGTTTGCTCACCACTTCTGCTTACGAACAGCTTGCCAGCTTTCTCAGGAGCCCACTGCATAAGTAGGGTTTCTTTCAGCAATCCACCTTTAGAAAGAGCTTTTTCTGAAGCTGCTTCAGGACAGAGTTCTTCCAGTGGACAGCTTTAGTGAAAGCCCCGAGAAGCTCTGCTGATCTATCTGGTCTTCAGGAATCAGCCTAGCTCATCCCCTCAGATGTCACTTACCTGAAGTGACTTTTGGGCCTCTGCTCATGACATATGACACCACTTTGCACAATGGCATCAATAGCAGAATTTACCACTTTTATGCAACAGCAGCCTACTGCAGAAAGAAAACACCAGTGAACATACTTGAGTTTTCTGGCAATGTTGGAGGTACCACACTTTCTTTAGTGTACCAGTAGTTTAGAAACCAAAATCAGAGACTAGTTAAGTGACAGTGGTAATTAAAAAAAAAATAATTAAAAAATCTAAAAATGCCCCTTACTAAGCATCGATTAAAAAAAGCTGCCTATACAGTAAAAATGAGCCAGGATTTTTAGAATCAAAGAGTGTGGCCAAATCAATAATTTGCTAATTAAAAATCACCTCTATTATAAGCAAGCATTATGTACATGAAACTTTGGCTTCCTGTTATTAAGAACGCTGGCACTACCGCTATTCCAAAAATACAATATTGTTTGATTGTTATTGGGAAATCTTTGGCCAGTTACCCTAAGTTTCTGCTACAATTCTCCCTCTTTTTTCATATAGTGTAATTCAGCATAATTATTTGCTTGCGTGAATTCCTCAAGTGTCTTTAAAAATTATCAACCACAACAAATGTGCATTGGTGGATCTTTAGAGTATCCTTCTGACATGTTTTGTGAGTGTCGTCTACCACCTGAGAAGATATTAGTGCTCTACTAATGCTCCTGGTAAGAGTTCTTTATTACTATTTGAGTACAGATTACTTTTTAAATTTAAAAAAAAAATAATCCATTTCTGTTCAACTTCCACTTGCCACCTTTCTTGGTCTCATCCTAAACTAAACATTTTTAATATTGACAAAAGGGGAAATTTCAAGTTAGACTGCATTAAAATGGGAAACAAACCAACCCATACGTTTGTGTGGCAACTCAAATAAACAAGAAAACCGTAACAAGCAAATCAGAGAATTATTACTTCTTAGTTAAAAGACAAAAACCAACAAAAACCCTCACTTGAGCAGAAGAGTGAAAGGACAAAATGCTTACTGCAGTTCCAGAGACCCTTGGGAGAATCAGGAGTGCTGTTATGCTAAACAGAACAGGGGAAAGTAACAAGCCTATAAGGGGCAATATAATGAGGTGTTTCCTTGTGGGTACAACCACATTTTTTCCTGTTAATGAACACATTATTATTATTAGTTCTTTCCTGTTAATGAACATTTATTAGTAGTAGTAGACAAAGTTTAGTAACTGAAAGATTCTCTTGTGCTGACGCAACAGAGAAAACTCTTGTGTTTAAACCCACAGATTTAGAGTGCAGATGCTGAGATAGCCGCAGTGGGTTAGCTAGCCAATGCCTTATCTCCCTCCAGTTTGTCTCTAGCATTTAGTGGACCTGAATACAAGGCTGGTCCAGCTACTTTTGCCTCTGCAGACCTTCTTTCGTGATGGTTTAAAAGAAAAAAAAAAACAAACCCAAGATTATAATTGATTCTGCACCTTCATAGGCATTTTAGGTCTGAAGTAAACTGTATAAACTAGCCAGTGCCTCTGGGAAGGTACTGGCCCAGCATCTGCCCTTCTCAGGGTGGCAGCATCTGCCACCTTCATTCCTTCACCACTCAAACTCAGCCACAAGCGCAAGTGCTGTTGATCAAAAGGTCAGCAACATGCAGGAGGGGATGTTCTATGTTCAGCCGTGGGCAGAAAGGTTAAGGATGCAGAAAGGAATGACTGTCAGCAGCCACTGTACATTAGCTGAAGAGCCAAACAGCTGTCCTCCTATAATCTCCCTGCTCGTAGCAATAATGTACAACTAAGTTAATCAGCTAGCAACTTGGTCCTGCCTATTTATTAGTAAGCATACTACCTACCCAAGCCTATTGAGTTAGGACTAGAGTTGGTAGCGTCGACATTGAGACTAACTCAGAAACACCACTTTTAAGTGAGTCACGGAAGAATTGCACTTACCTTGGGGGTAATACAGGTTCTGGCTGAGGCAGTCCACCCTGTTCTGAATGATCCAACTCCTACAAAGATTCAAAAGAAAAAAAGCCATTTCTTTAAGCATAGGAAACAAAAATGATCTTGTTTAAATGATGCATTTCTTATATTAAATTATATCCTACAGACAGGAAAAACAAGAGTTTCTGGAGGTCTGAGAATAAAGTAATAAGTATTATGGTATGTTTGAGCATTTTAAAGTCTGGTTGGACATAGAGTGAGATGTAAATAACCTGGTTGACTACCTGAATCACAGCTTAAATTGTGCATTAGGCATGACCCAGCCCTCTTTTCCTACTACATGGGAGTAAGGGCTTAAGAGCCAAATTCAGGAGAGTCATACACGTGTACAACTTCACTGCCCATGGGATTCCAACTGCTGCATTTCATTATCAATTTTGATTTAACTTTGACAGATGAAACACTTTGAACAGGCTTAAAGCAGAAAACATGACATTGATGCAACTTGCACAGGACAGCGTCTCCTTTGCAAATAACATTAGCTCTCATTAAAGAAGGCATCTAAGTATGTTTCCAAGAGATCTAACAGATAAACTCTGGTGAATCTTGCTTTGGCAGATTAAGGGTCACTCCTCCCAGCTGCCCATCCTGCCCCTGCCAGAAATTACTGCCCTATAGCAGAGTCAGTAGAGGGGAATATGTGCCATGTCTGAAGGGCTTGGACCACAGTAATGGATTAACAAGTTACCATCCTTTCTGCCTTCTGCTGTTCATTTTCATCCCAGTGCCAGAGAGTACTGCCAGCTCCGCTGAACAAGCACAGCTGCTTGTGGAACAGTGTGGTAAATCAGAGTGCTGGATCTGGGTTCAAAAGTATCCTTTTCGAACCAGTAGTTTTAAATAGGTCTGAACAGTCTTGTTTACTTAATTAGGGATACGTGTGCTTGAAACTGGTAAACAATTTCTGTGATTTTTCCCACCTAGAAAATACATAGATGTATTTTGTGGCAAAATTTTGACCCTTGGTTAAGTCCCAAAATGAACGTTCCTGGTTAAACGATCCTGATTAAAAGAAACCAACCTGCCACTTTCAGATGGGAATGTTATCCTCATACAAAACATTTTCCTCTTCTGTGTGAAAAGGAAGAAATCTATGCCAACTGCTGCTTATGGTCAACAATTGGCTGGTTAATCACTTCCACTGACAAATTACATTAGTTTTAGAAGCACAGAAGTTCTTATCTTTCCAAAGCTAAGATTTAAATGTTTCAGTGGATTTGATGAAATCTTTTTCTTAAAAATATCCTCTGAAGCTTACACATGCCTGTCACAATAACCTGGATGACATTGTAAAAATTTTGGGGTTGTATTGTATAAAATGTTACTTAACATATTGTATTGGAAACTATTTTTTTAGCATTATCCAGAAAAGATGGGACCTCTATGAATAGTTCAATTATGACATTTAAAACCCCCTTTATCCTATTAGCAGAGGTAGCCACAAAGACATTTGTTGGCAGCTGTCCATCTAGTGAGGGCTTTTGATATGATTTGACCTGTGGTTTCCACAAGATTCTCTGCCATTCTTGCCATCACAGCACTCAGTATTTGGAAATTCTACTGTCATTTTCAAGTTTATTTGAATTCCTTTTTGTAACTTGTGTCAAAGGGCATAAAGGATACACAGCTGCACTGTCTACTGTTACTATGTGCTCAGGAGCAAGGAGCAGAGCCTTACTTTCCAAAATAGATGGTTGTACTCAGGCTTTGACAGGACCAGTAGAAAACAAGTAGAAGGAAAAAAAATGAAGAAAGCAAGCTTTATTCATCTACACAAAAGTTTCCTCTGCCTGGAAATTAGCACAGACACCGAGAGGTACTGTGTGTATGAAGGTAAAAAAAATAGATTTCTAAAGGACTTTGACAGTATTTCACTATGTAAATCTCATTGGACTTTAAACCACTATGCAGTTCGTTTGAAACTAAATTGTAGAATACTCTGATTCCAGCTGCTAAATACAGAAAATTGAAGATAGATGTGATCAAAGTTTAGTAAAATCAACAAAGTGCTTTTCAGAACTGACAGCAGTCTAAATTACCTAATTAAATTAGAGGATGCAATTAAGAGAAAAAAGCCTTATGTTTTTGAGCAGTCCTTTTCATCCTTTGGTCCTTCAAATAACTTGCTTTACAAATGCTTGAGAGTCACAAGAGATCTGTTAACCAAAGCAGACAAAGTTGTAAAACAGGAAAACAGTTCTAACTTACCACTTTTTTTACTAGGTCACCACTGTTGGGTTTTCCCACTGTGATATCAGAGGTGTTCCCAATAGGCTTTTCAGCAGGAAGTGGCGGAGGACTATGCGGGATTTCATTTAAAGCTGTAAAAAACCCCAAAAGTTCTCAAATGAAAGTCTAATTAATAGTTTCTTTACATGGACCAACAATAGGTAAGGGAATCCACTTTGGTTTGGGGCATTTTTCTGTGAATACAACTTCCTTCCTCAGAGCCAGAGCAGCCAGCGGGCAGGACCACGTAAAGACTAGTGAAGAGAAAAGGGATGTGACAGGAACATTGCAACTCTGAGGTTGCAATGGGAGTACTTCCCATCCTTCATAACGGATCTTCACTTTACTCTCAGGATACAAGCAAGTTATTCTAGGGTTTCAGCTGCAATACTTGTTGATATAATATTAGACAAGTAGAGGAGTTTCTACCCCTGGGAATGTCAGACTCATTACTGGATACCCTGAAACACCATCACCATCTCTCAGCCACATTTCTAAACTGGTTCACTTTTTTCAGCTGTCAGCTCCTGGAATATCCTTCAGGCTGGAAAACAGCTGAGGGTTATTTCAAGTAACCCTGAAAGATCAGGAGACTTGGATGGAAGAATCTCCAGAAAGGTAAAGACAAGAAAAGAAACCATTGCCTGCTAGAACATTCAGGGTGACAGAAAGAAAACAGAGATGGAAGGTCCCTGGTAGTCTTTTAGGAGCAAAGCAAATTTAGGACATGAACGAAGAAACAATACAGCTCTTACTAGGGAAGAGTGAGGATGTCCTCAGCCTCAATAAAGAACACAAAAACCTGCTAATTGTATGATATTTGCTTTCAATGTTTCTGCCATTGAAACCTGGGAAGCACTTGCACAGGTTTTGCCAGCATATTTACCAATCATTTTGTCTTTATACATTGGAACCTTGCCATCTATTTTACAATGTATTTGTATACCAAGAAAATTCGTTTTGTACAAAGAACTTTAGACACTTAAGCTCTTCTGACTTCCAACCAGTCTTGGAGTTATGTAAAAATACGTGTAGACAGCCTGGACATTTATAGACTGATGACAAAAAAGGAGAGATTCTATCCAAATGAAAACTTTGAGTTGCTCATTTCATGAAAAGTACTCTCAACAAAGAAACAACACATAGGAAGGAGAAGTGTTGTTTGTTTTTAACACGTGTTGCATTATGTGATCATAGGATCTAAACACTGGTGTGATGTTTAAAAATGGGTCAGTTCAAGGATAAATCACTTATTCTTAGGAACAGGTCACAGTTACCTTGTTGGCAGTAACTATACATGAGGAAAAAAAGTTAGTGAAGTTCATCACTCTTCTAAGCTAGTACAATGGATGAAAAGTAAAAACAGCACCTGACAGTAACTGCAAGAGAAATCTTCTCTTAACATACCTTACTGATATATAAAAAGTACAAGAGATTTATTTATTCACATCACTTCAAATCTTGATATATACACAGATGGCCTAATTTCCTCGCCTTTACTCTTTATAAGACCAAAATTAAAGGAAATAAAGGAAGAAAAAAAAAAACCCAAACAACTCAAGAACTAGAAGGCAGGTGATATTTTCAGTGATTTCTAAGTGTAATATCTGAAGTGGAAGTTTAATGTTTCCTTTGTAATCACATCTCAACAAAAATGCTAAAGCTAAATGAGTGCTTTAATGGAGTTCAAATTCTTAGGCATCCAGCTCTGTCGCCTTCTTGGTAGTGCTGGGTGGGTTTGGGGTTTTTTTTGGTTTATTGGGGTTTTTCTTTTTTGTTTGCGCTGGTCCCTGACAGAAATAATCTCCCTCCACACCCACAATGGTGAAAGACTTCTTGTACTGAGATTGTATGGCCCTCTTACAAGTTAAATACTACTATATCCATGCTATATCTTGGCCAAGTTGTACTTTTCTCATTTTTTAACTTTTAACAGCTTACATTTCTGCAGCAGCTCCTATCTGACAAAAGGCTACTCTGCTTTCTTGGAACCTGGTTCTGTTGCTCCACATGTCATTAATCTTCCAGCCACAGCCTCCCATAAGGCAGTACTTCACATCCCCCTGACAATTGTAGCTAAGTACAGTATGACCAGCAGTCTCCTGTGGAAATTTCAGTTACCACTAGAGAGCAGCAAGGGACCGGTTATCTACAAGTTTGAAAGAGAATCCAGCTGAGGAAAAAAAAAATTGTCAGGTTTTGTTTGTTTTGTTTTTTAAATGGAAACTACAGTTTCCTTTGTGGAAAATAATTATGTTTTGGGTTCTTTACAGTAGTTCATAAACATTCTTCCAACTGAAAAAAAACTTTTATTAATGATCAGGTATTAACAGAAAGACTTTTCCTCATAGCTTTATCTTCAGTCTTCTTTGCATTTTTAATCATTTCCATTGCATTTCTTGCACATGCAGAGGAAAAGAAAACCTAGTATTTTAGCAGTGGAGTGGTGGTGGGGGGAGCAGGGAACTCAGGAAATAATGAGAGAAAGTCTTAGGAGAAAAGCCACCTGGACACGTAGTTGCTATAAATTGGCTCTACACCTACTCAGTGTAGTAAAATATGATTTTGAAATACGAGTTTTAAGAGCTATCTTGTGACATTTCTCCCTAAGCTTTGAGGATGAAACATAAGGCTAAACAGAAGCAAGCATGTACTCCACCACTACCAAAACACTATTGCTTAAATGGCCAGAGATTTCAAAACTACCAACGGTCAAGGGAACCTTTTGACGTAAGCTGTGAAAACTATGCTTACATCCCAACTAAGCTGTGTTTGATGCACAGTTTAATACACTAATGTTGTTCTTTCATGGCTGGGGGCTCTGCTCCCAGGAAGCTTGAGAGCAGCATTAAAATACCCTCAGCTGATGTCAGAACAGAAGTCAATTTGACCAAAGGTACAGCTCAGTGATATGGTTTAGCTGACGAAACAAGCTGGCTTCTGCTGAAAAGGCCTCCTCCAGCTCTTCCCTGCCAGCCTTCAGATTCCCCACACACACAGTTTCACCTCTGATATGCATCAGCTCCATAAGGTTTGAGGGACATCAAACTTAGCACAAGGGAGGGAGCCAGACAAGGTAGCTGGGAGGCAGGGAGAGGGGAACATGACTCCCAGCTATTTCTCCCTCCCACCATAGCCCTTAGGACGGCTCCTCTGTCTGGTCAGACTGTAATACGGGATTCCTTTGGCAGCTAAGATAGCCAGTAAACAGCAACTCAATTAGTAAATAGTAAGTCCCAGTTAAAATGATTTTCTGACAGATTTCTCAGACAATTTGGGAGAACTTACATTTCCCGGGTTTAGCTGGGATTCGGATCACAGTGGGTTTCCGGGCTAAAGCTGGTTGAGCTGTCTGTTCCTTTGCAGGTTCACTTTTAGTAAGGAACTGAAATGGATCTAAAAGAAAAAAAAAAAAATGCCAGCGTATTTAATATTTCTTTGTTGAACACACATCTCAGGGTATTGCTATCATTTTATATTTCACACCCAAGAAAGTAATTAAAAAAATATATAAATCAGGCTGATGCAAATAGCGTACTCAGGTCTTTGTAAATAATATGTCTTTTCTGTACATCTGCATTCATAGTTGACTTAACATAAGCATGCTCCAGATGCCTTCTGGGATTATGTAAGTCACTGAACAAGAGGAACTGCATTGCTTGGTAATAGGGACCTGAAATCAGGATAGCTTTAGGGAAATGTTTTCAAAGCAGTTGTTCTAATAGGCAGACAGAGCTGCGAACACATTTGCTGAAAAGTTTTAATCAATAAAATCTTGCCAAAGCTAAACAATCAACACTGCAGCAGATAAAATGCCTAGAGAAACAAACCAAACCAAAACAAAGCATTTAAATATCACTGATTACAAAATGTCTTTGCTGTAGAACAACTAATTCCCTGGAAGATTCTGCATCATTTTGTTGATTATAAACCTGGTGTCATGGGGGAGACTGGTTCAGGCCAAGGACTGGGAGTCATGCCTGAGCTCTGCCCCTGCCCGTATCACTCATTCCTCTACAAGCCTGTCCAATCATTCCATCGGTAGGACAGGAGCAATGTTTTCTACGCTTCATAAACTTAAGCACTGGTCTCTTATTAATAGGCATGGGAACATATGCGCATGTAGAAGGCAGCTGTAAAAATACTTGCACATAAATAAAATCCAAATCAATGGGTTCTTTCTCAAGTACACCTTCATGTCAAAGAGCAATACTTCATTTATACCTCTTCCCTGTTGTTAACAACTGCCACCTTTTTCTCTGACATTACCAAAAAGTGCAGTAAAATGGCAACGCTTAACAGTATCATAAATGTGTAAAGCAGAAATTGGAGAAGCACTCTGGACAATAAATTCTCCATGACACGTATTCATAGCCCCAACAACTGAGTTTGATCTCCTCTGGTGGCCTTTTTAGATGTGTAGCTCAATGAGATGTTATTTATGGAGTGTCAGAGTCTCCAAGAGGAAGCACGCTGGGCATCTCTTTAAATTCTTCAGGACTTTTTATAAAAACATATTGTTTCCCGAAGCTACCGCTACACTTTCTGACAAAGTTGGAAGCCATGTATTTGATAAAATTCTATCTTCAACACTTACAGCAAACAATTTAAAAAATTACATAATATGAAGTCATGATTTCTTACAGATAATTTTAGATAGTATAACACAATACAGTTTATCAAGACAATAGAAATCTGTGTCTGGGAATATACGTAAGATTTAAGAAAATCCAGAAATACGGTATTTATTTATGAACAACCTCATTAAAAATCTTTTAACATTTTAATTAAAAAAGCCTTGGCATTTTTAAAGAGAGGGGAAGAAGACCAAGTACATCAACCTCTGGGGTTTTTTTTGTTTTTTTAACCAAAAATAGGCTCAAAGTAATTTCAGAGAGAGAAAACACTGTGTAATATTGAGCTGCTGAATTACAGTGTAATGGACTGCCCTCCCTCATGCACACAACTCTGCAGTCACAGCTCTCCCAGTCCCTGCTGCTGCTGCTCCCCCTTGCCCGCAGCCTCCTCTGCCCATGCCCCCAGCTCTTCCCAGCTCCCGGTGTAGAACAGCAGGGACAACATGCTGCAGGGCCCGTGCACGCTCACCCCTGCTCACATGTCCACCTCCCACTAGGTCCTTGCTTAAGGCTCTCTTCATAGGCGTATCTGTCACATACAGGTGTGCCATGGGGGTTTGTGCCATGGTCTCGCAAAGTCAAGACATCAACCTCCCTACAGGCTCCCCAGAAATCTGCCTGGGTACCTTCATGTCACATTTTAATCACGAATCAAACCACATCAATTCCTTCTGTCAAGCTGTTTGTACAACAGCTTTGAGCGTACACTTCAGGTAGAAAGGTTCATGACGAGTCAATGATTTGTCTACAGCTAAAGGTATACAGGCTATAGTTAAAAATAAGCTCTGTTACTGTCTAGACGGAAGATGGCTCCATCACGTTGTACCCAAAGACACCGGCACATCCAGAAACTAGGAACAGGCAACCCATAATATTTTAAACGGTAAGAGTAAAACAAACATCTTGTTTAAGTTGGATTAGCACTAGTCAGTAAAAGGTGCATCAGAGCAGGGGGTTTTTCCTAGAGGACTTGAAAACACAGACCACAAGAGAGGTGCAAGCATTCTGGCAGTATGGTCATTACGAGATACAAAAAATCTCATTCTTAGAGCAAGCCTATTGTTACAATTTTCTTTTATTCCTTTATAGCTATGCCTGCTAGATACGCTGCTAACATTTGAATTGCATTAAAAATAGATTTATCTAATCTTAACTCTTACGCTGGTGTTCAGAGTGACTTTAGTGCCACTGAAAAAAGAAAACTGAAAAGCAGGCTTTCTTCTCTCTTTCAGTTATCTGGCAACTTTACGACAGATATGAGGAGTGACCCTGGTGAGGCAGCAGGGCAGGGGGAGCTCAAAGCTGAACTGGCCCATTGGGAAGCTGGAGACAGAGGGCAAGCAGAGGAAAGGTAAGCAGGGCTAAGTCACAGGCTCCTTCACACAGCAGGACCATAGGGAATGTGCTGGCACACGGAGCACCTCTCAAGGCAAGGTTCTGCAGAGGTTAAAGAAGTTCTGCATGAATAATGAGGAAATAATTTTCCAAAGCCTCCATCTTATAAAAATTTAGACATCATCAGACCAAGAGGAAGTGCTCTTAACACCCAAAATAATCACAGATACGCATTCTTGTAAATTTATGGGAGACTTAAAATTGTACAAAATTACTGTTTGTCAGTTGTTTATCATTTCTATGTGTAGAAATGGTTTTCTTGACCATTCAACAGTTGGCAGAGGTCTCTAAATCAATAAATCTGAGAAGAGGTTTTTAAGTCTGAGAAAAGTAATTTCTAAGGCTGAGAAAACCATTCTATGAACCTTAATTTTTCACTCATTATCTTATGTTCAATTATACTGTTGTCACCTCATAATTAGTTTAAAACTCATTACCTTGTTTGTGTTATTCCATTCCCTAGTGTTGGGTTTGCAGCTGAAATTGGCTGAGTAAACAACTGTGCTGCTTTGTGCAATGGGACTGACAACATATCAAATTTTTATGTTGTTTAACAATTGGGCATCGTTTGAGCATAATTCACGGAGGTGTGAAAACAGAATTGTTAATATACTCATTTAAAGCTTCTCAGCTCAAGGAAATTAATCTGCAAGGCATTTTCCTAACACATTATCAACAGGCTTCTATCGATATTTTATTAAACTTTTACAATGATGCTTAAAGCCTGCGTCTTCCTTAGTCTCGCTTTTCTACAGTTTGTGTTTCAAAGGTTTATGTGATAACATATATTGCTGTGCTTGCTCACAGGAAAGACAAATGAAAGCTGTGTATTCAAATAAATGATATATCATCTCCTTCTTTTACCAGTTTAGGAGAGACAGCTTTTTTCCCCCACTCTCATTTACCATCCTTGCTTAAAATAAAAAATTAGGAAGTTACAGAACAAACACTAGGTTTTGCCCGGTGAGCAGGATAGATGGATATCTTCCTGAAACATTTACTGGTAGTCCTTAAGTAGGTGGTAGTAAGATGGTAACAGATACCTTAGGAGCAATAAGGGGAATTTCCAAACAAATCAGATGTGGAAAGCTGAAAGCACAGAATAGTATTATCTGCTGTGAAGATGCTCAGTCCTCCAAGAAGTACTCTCAGTACACATGAGAACAACGTAGTATGAAAGGTGTTGATGCTGACATTACAACACTTGCCAGCTACAGAAGTATGCAACTGTGTCTACTTTCAATGTTTAATCAAAAAAACTATATCAGCTGTTAAAGGCAAGGCTCACACACTCTCTTCACACAGAACACAACTGTTATCGATGTCTTCCAGGAACAGAGAATAGAGCCAACCCTCATCAACAAATGCTTTTATTAAAATCTAGCCCCATGAAACCACTCTGGTGTTTGTGGAAGCACACTTAACCCAGACTTGGGTGAAGATTTTCAACAACGGGTCCCTCCTAGTAATACAGCTGGAGATTCAACAGAAACCTGACAGATAACATCCCAAACAGGAATGGGGCCAATGCTCAAGAAACACTGAAATGCTACAACCACAAGTCTGATATTCACTCAGATGTTCTAAATCTCAACCTATTCACAACTATAAACAGACATCTTAGACCAGGTACACTACCTAAATTCCAGCATCAGTGATTTTCCATACCTCAGTTTTCCCTAGTATTTTTCATCACTGAAATTAACAGTTCACTGTTCTTAGAAATGGTATTTCTGACCCAGGGAGAATAATATGGACTACACCACCTTTCTGAAAATATGCAATTTGCAGCTCCCTCTGCATGGAAAATAGCCATGCTCTGGTCATGACCATGTCTTTCAGTAGGCTAGGAAATTTAAAAAGGAAAAAAAAAAGAAAAAAAAATAGGAGAGAGAATGGGATATAGGCTCTTTGAGAATGTAATCGGTGCATAACCTGAAAGGAAGCTCAGGTGAAACTCAGGCTTCTCAGCATTCTTCTAACACTAGGAGAGTAGAGCAGGTCACTGAACTAAAAGAAATACAGTATTCCAGAGTAGACTTAGTATGGCTTCAGACTTAAAACTGGAGCACAGACAAGCAAATCCGCTATCATAACATTCTAGGATTTCTTTCTCCCCAGTCTACACAGAGGTTTTTCATGACTAGCCCGGTTATTTTGGTAGAGGCTATGAACAGACTGTGTGGTCCTGCTTCATTCAAAGATTTATAGCTCCTCAGGCCAAGATTTGCTTTACCTGATATGGCACATTTAGCCAAACAAACACTTGAGTGAGCTGGCAAAAATCTCTTATATATAACAACATTTACATATAGGTATCTTCTCCAGTGTGGTTGTCACAGCATTGTTTTATTTCTGCACCTG